TGATCCATCCAAAAATTGATTTGGGAGAAATCACCCAAGGACAATTAAAAAAAAAGAATAAATAAATAAATAAGCAGGGATTAGTCACAACCTCATTCATAAACAATGAGAAGAGCGAGCAAAGCGCCATGCAACCGGCCTCTGAGGCGTCGTGGTGCATCTCATTTGTTGTGCGTAGGGGCCATGAAATCTCCATCTTTGGAGCACTGGCCACTGATCTCAACAAAAAGGAGCGGGCGAGAGAAAGATGAAACATCTGAGTGCAGTGGGCGTACCATGTTTGTGTTTGTTGTTGTGCGGTGGTGCTGTTGTGTGCTGTGTGTGGAGAACTAACCAGGCTTGTCTGCACGTTAATTACGTTGGAGCAACGGCTTATTATTAGCTGTCGACACCCCAACCATTGGGTCGTGCAGTTCAGACGCTGGCGTCTGTTCGGTTGCGCACTTGCACCTCTCGCCCTCAGGGCGCCCTGAGCAGTCTCTCTTTCCTCACACGCCGAGTAGACGCTTGATCTCCGCGTCGTGTGCCTTCTCGCGCGCCAACGCGGCCGCGGTGAAGCTGCAGGTCGTGGTGGTTGGGCTTTTGCCCTTCTTCCTCCTCCCGCCCCTACCAGCTCGCCTCCTGGGCGCCGGCTTCAGCGCATCCGGGTCGTTCACTTCTGCTTCCTCCTCCTCTTCATCTCCGCCCCCAAAGAGGTCATCGTCGTAGTCGAACATGCTGCGGTGTGGCTGGTCGACGGTGACGATCTTCATCTCCGCGTTGGCCTTGTTGTCCACCACCAGCCCGACGAGCTTTCTGACGAAGTCGGCTCGGCCGAGGAGCACGGCCAGGTGCAGGCAGTTGAAGTCACGCCACTCCTCGCTGCTGCCGCCCGAGCCTGCGTGGCCGTCGTAGTTGTGTCGCCGGGTGCGAGAGGCGCAGGCGACGGCAGGGTCAGCTCCGATGGCTAGCAGATCGTCGGCGAAGCGGAGGGCCTTGCGCGACGAGCTTGACGAGTTGATCAGCAGCGCCAGCGGAGTCGCGCCCTCGATGGAGGTCGACGACGACGTGCCATTATCCGGACTGTTTGCTCCCGATGACACTGTGATGCTGTTGTGTGTTGTGCGTGTTCTAAGTGTTGTCAACTATGAAGGCAGAAGAACGCGTACCTTCCGACGGGTTCGTTGACGTTGCAGCCGGCGAGCCGATGACTGGCGATGAGCAGCGCGCACAACTTCTTCGTCACGCGGCCCTTGTTCGTCTTCTCTTCGCCCTGGCCTACCCCTGGGATCGGAACCGGGTGCCTTCGTTGCGCAGGCGCTTCGAACTGTGCGTGTGAGCTCAGTCCGCTGTAGCAGGCCTTGTGGAATGCACTCGCATTGATGAAGCTGAGGGACCACGACGAGCAGTGGCTGCCCTGGGCACACCGCGATCCCCACCGTGAACGTGCCCCAGCCCCTACGCGAGTAGAAGCAGTGATACAATATAATATTGTAATATTAACAGAAAATATAAATTGAAAATAAACATCATATAATGTTAACAATTATTTTAAAATTGGAAAGAAATGTACGGGCGAGTGAGCTGGAAGGGGGCTTGGGTGCTGCACACGAGGGCAGGGTCGAAGGTGGGGTGCAGGTGGAACTCAACCTTGTGGATGCCTTCGCCTTCTCCCCACTCACCTTTCTCCTCCACGAAGGCTGTCCATTGGTGCACGTTCTTCTCGTTCCCCTCCTTTTCGACGTCGGGGGCGGCGCAGTACCGGTTGCCATACACCAGGGAACGGCCCTGGCGCAATGACAGGCTGCTCAGCGATGGTAAGTCGCCCATGTTGCTTGTTCGAAGGGGTCCTGATGGTAGGAGGTACCTCCCTGGTCAGTGGAAGCAAGACTGGGCCGACAACAGGCAGTTACACTCTGAACAGACGTCGTGTCGACAGTAACAAAATTGAGAACACAAACAAAAAGCAATTTGAAATTCAATCTCAAAACAGATGTGGCACAAGTGCCCGTGTGGGCGCAATTCCTAGGAGCTGAATGCTGATTTCACTGCGGGAGTTGGACGGCAACATGTACTCCTGTTGACGTTTTAGTTCGTGTTGCGAGGAGTCGGCTCAACTGGGGCATCCGCGCACTACCACACAAGTCATGGCTAACTGGCAGTGCGCCAGCGCAACTCAGAGGCATCACTCAGAATGGTGCTGGGGCCGTCAACTGGTTGTTGCGCATTCGCCATCATGCTTCAAAAAGTTGGCCAACAGTGTGAGGGCCAAAAAATGTTCATGAAACATGATCCTAGGTGGGGAACAGGCCATGTTTGGTCATAGATGCTGCTTCGCCCGGGTCCGCTTGCCACCACCAAGCCCTGGACATGTGCCATCAGCTCGAATCAAGCTTGCTTGGACCCTCTGCTTCTACTCGCCTTTTCCGCCTCCGTGCCATTTCCCAGTTTATCAAGACATCAACCAGACCTGACATGTCGCCGCTTCTCGTCATCCCTTCTAGCGTAATGCCCCTGAAGCACTACGATTCATTTGACCACGAGCCTACACACACACACACGCAGAGAGAGAGAGCAACGCACACGCGCAGAAGCAAGACACAGAGATGGCTGCAGGATGCAAGTCACGGAGCTCCGCTGGGCTGACGGTCGACCGGCGGCAGATGGAGGACCAGGTGGCGGCGTCGAGGAGCGAGCTGTGGCAACGACAGAGAGCGCAGCTGCAGGAGGGATTGGCCAACGTCAAGGCCGAGACCTCGAGCGGCATCGTGCGACAGGGCCGGGAGGACTTGTGCAGCCGCCGCCAGGTGTGGCGCCGCCAGTACCGAACGATCAACAGCTTCAATGCGGTGGCCCCGATCTTGGACGACGCTGACGACGATGAAGATGGAGGAGACGACTGCAGGGTACCACTACGGGAGTATCGGTCGGCCGAAGAAGGCAAGAAGTCGAGCTCGCGAGCTAACTCCAAAAAGAACAACATGCGCTCGGTGGAAGAGGAGAGCAAGAAGGTAATCGGGAAGCGGGACCGACTGCAAGTGAAGGCGTTGTGGAACTACTTGCGACATCGCAGCTCGTCTCGACCACAGCGCCGAGCATGATACAAATAAACAATGAAAAAGGAGACATCTCTTGCACATCAAAGGTTCACCTTCTTGAGGCATTTGATCATACGGGAGATGCTGTGTTCATAGCGAGACGCGCCCAACAACAGTCACCAACTTCTCCCGCAGAGCCAACTGAAAACTAAAGGAAATTTCAGAGGTTAATTTTTTGCGTCTATTTAATGCAAAAATCGATAAAAACACGGAAGAACCACAACAGCAGGTCAGAGAGGATGGGCAACCAAGCATTTCGAGGGACTAACTACCTCTTCCTGACTGCGGAGAAGGGGGAGTTGAAGGGGGAGATGGAGCTAACGCGGCATGGCAACTTTCATATCGGTAAGTACGCGTGGCTTCTTTGCCCTGGTCTGTGACTGACCAGTCGAGTAGAAGAAGGAGTTGGCTGTATATATATCAAGACAGCGGAGGGTAACTACGTGGGAGCTAACGACGAGCACCATGCCGTTCTGCGAAGAGAGAAGCAAGCGGACTGTAAATGGACTCTGGGTACTCCATCAGGCCAGTTGCAGAGTTTGAAAAAGAAGCTGTGCCCTCATGCACCTGCAACAGAGAGAAGCTCCGGCGGCGCCGCGATCCGCAGCAAGCACGGCGGCTACCTGAGCATGGACGAGAACGGTGTGGTGCGGATCAAGGAGCTGCAGAAAGCCGGCGACCAGGAGATGTTCTCCGAAGTGGCCCTGCTGTGAGGGGTACTCACCCAGTCGCGGGCCACACGAAAAGCACCACTATTTTGACCACGACCAAGGCGAAGGCGAGAAGGATAGGCCAGGTTTTGTCGTTTGCCCAGGAGCTGATGTACAGTGCGTGTGCAGGGGAGGGGTCCTTCAGGGCAGGGAGTCGAGGGAGCGCGGGGGCGGGGGCTTGGTGGGATCGTAGCCGGGCTGGTGGACCTTCTTGCGGCCTTGGTCCTTGTCGTCGGACCAGCCGACCTTGCCCGACGTCGCCTTCGGCGGGTCCGGGTTCGCCAGCTTCTCGAACCTGGTGTGTCGCCACAACACACGTCATCATCACCATTAGATGCGCTCGAGGAGAAGACTCGCCACTTGGATTGAGTGGCTTGGTTGAGAGGGGGGGGGGTTAAAGTACTTGGCCTTCAGGCCGCCAGCAGATGGAGTGCCGTCAGCGTTGCGCGAAGGAGCGGGGGCGCCAGGCTCGGGTGCGCGGTAGCCTGGCGAGGACTCCTTGATCTTCTGCTCAAATAGCTTGGCCTTGTCTCCCATCTTCGCTCTCTCTCCACTTTTGTCTTTTGCGTCGTTGTTCCGTGGGCTGCAGCACACCAACCACAATGAAACCGAAAAAGAAAAGAAAAGAAAAGAAAGTCAAAATGGACGCTCTGCAAACGTAGAAGCGTGTTGTTGGAAGAAGGTGTATTTGGAGCAAGGGACAAGAAAGAAAAGAGAGAACTGAGATCATCGCCAGAGTTCTACTCGTGGTGCGGCGAGGTGTTCGTCTTCGTTCTTCTCTCTTGCGTCAGAGGAGCGGCGCGGGGTTCACCTGTCGGCGAGCGGCTGGGGAGCGAGGGGCTTCTCCATGTAGTAGCAGATGTGGCCGCCATAGTCGAGCTCGCGGCACATGATGAAGCCGTTGCGCTTCCAGAAGCCGAGGGCCGGGCCGAGGCTCACGAGGGTGATCATCGGGAAGCCCTCGTCGGCGGTCAGCTGTTGCACATAGTCGGTGAGCGGCGTCGTGAGGCCCTGGCCCCTAAAGGCCGGGTCCATCGCGATCTCGTGCACGTAGATGACGTCGCGCTGCGGGTCGAGCTCCATGGTCGGGTGGTCGGCCAGCCAACGCTCGAGGTCGGTGAGATCGTTGACGTCGTTGATGCCCTCGCGCAGGTACGGCTGGGCCTGGATGTAGCCGGCCATGCGCCACTTGGTGGTGACGGCGGCGGGCTTGCCCCCCACGCGACGCTTCTTGACCGAGTGGACGTCCTCCTCGCACCTGGGCGAACCCGACGGCGAGTACCTCGTGACCTGGTTCTTGATCATCGGCACGGCCTGATCGTTGTCGCTGTCGTCGTCATCAGTGTCGTCGTGATCGCAGTCGTTGCTGACGTCGTTGTCATTGTCGTTCTCGCTGTCGCTGGAGTCGTCGCTGCTGTCGCCGGCGTAGTCGCAGTCGCTCGAGTCGTCGTTGTCGCCGGTGGCGGCCGAGACGGGCACCTCGACGATTACGTTGCCCTGCGGGTAGAGGCGGATGCGGCCCGTGTAGGACTCAGGCAGCTCGCGGTACTCGGGCTCGTAGCAGAGACGCTGGATGCGCAGTACCTCATCAACGTCGGCCTCGGTCATGAGACGCACGCGCCACTTGGGGTTGACGCCGTCGTCCGCCTTGTCCGCGGCCTGAGCCAGCACCCCCTTCAACACCTTCTTCCTGAGCTGGTGCTTCTTCATCTTCTTCGCCGACGATGAAGATCCCGAGGCCGAAGAGCCCCGGATGATGGGGATGGGCTGCGAGGGTTGGGCGGCGGCGCCACAAGTGGTGGGCGCCCCCTCGCGCACCTGACCATCGCAGGGGGTGGTGTTCCCCCCGCGATGGTCAAGTAGAGAGCGGTTGTCGTTGTCGATGCTAAAAAGGCCACTTCAACTTGGCCGAAAGGAGGTAACGGTACTCAGCGGACCTGTTGGTGAAGATGAAGAGACTTGGTGAGTACATCGCTGTCGGAGCATTTAGATGTTACATATGCGTACCTGGCCTCGAGGTCCTGGAGGTCGCCCTTGAGCATGTCGATCTGAGCGGTGCTCAGGCTGTCCTTGGCAGATTCGGTGGCCTTCTTCTGGTCCTGCTGCTGTTGCTGATCGTTGTTGCAGGCATCCGCGAAGAGATGATTACTCGAAAGCTTGAACTTGGTGGAACCGCCAACGACCTCGCCGTTGGCGTTAATACTCAGGGTGCTCAACATGATGATTCGAAATGGAAGATTTGGTCGCTACGTCGGTTGGGGTGTGGGGTGTCTCGGGCTACTTGAGAGCTGGTGGTGGTGGGTTTGTGGTAAAGAAAAAGATGCGCCCGTCGCCCCGTCGCCTTTTGTAGGCGGAAAAGGCCTGCCCTGTTGTTCGCTTGTTCCACGGCCGGAGAATTTGCGGGAAAAGCACAAGAAAAAGTCGACAAGCAAAGTTGTCCTGTGATCCTGTTTCATCCTCTGGAGCGGGCCTCGTGGGAACGTGGAGAATGGGACCGTGGGCGAGGCGGGCGCGTGCTTTCGATGTTTGTGACCGGAAAGGCGGAGGATTGGGGTGGGAAAAATCTGCCAACAGGGTTGACGTATTCTGATGGGACCAACAGGAGGTTGTGTCGGACATAGCTTTGTGAACCTGGCTTCCCATTGGAACTGTAGTGGGTTCTGTGTTGCACAGCCCCAAAATACGAAAAATGTGAACCTCAGAGCAGAACCTCCAGCAAATCTGGAAGGTGGAAAATGAAGAAAGAAATTTGCTGGTGCTGTGTATTGTGTGTAGTACCTGGTGTTTGTACAACAGGCATGTGGCTGATTGGGCTAACCTCTTTCACACCACTTTTGAACCACAACAAGCTCACACCCAACCCAGAAGACTTACTCCCAACCAAGGTTGAGTGTGTTGTGCTGGCCTCAGAGAACTGTGTCAACACAGAACTTGCAGTCATTTGAAATGAGAGGTTGCAAATGACTGTGGAATTTTTGTTGTGCTAAAATCATGTGAGATTTGACAATTTTGATTTATAGGGCAGTTTTGAAGATTTGGATCTGCATGTGTGATTTTGACATGCTAGACCACTGCTTATAAGTGATATTGAGGGACTTGAGATGAAAATGATTTCATAAAAACTTGGAATTTGTG